TCTCTCTCTCTCTTTCTTTCTTTCTTAATTAATCATTCTTCCTTCCTTTTTTTCAAGATATGAAAGATTATGCATGCGCGGATAAAATATGTAATAAAAACACTTATAATAAAACACTTTAAATGCTAGTATGACTTCCCTTCGTCGCAACCTTAATCAAGCCACTGGGAGTTTTCCCCAAAGGGTTTATATTTACCGTGTAATTGTCGCTACAATTATTGTTATAACATGCACGAAATTTAACAACCTGGTCATTTGTGGCCATTAGTTTCTGGTGCCAAAGCAAACCTCAGAAATGGTTGTGCATATGAAGAGGGACTGTTTTTAATGTGTCTAAATGGGCGAAGAAGCTTCAGGACAGTGTTTTGTCTCTGCCTCGCACGATGATTATTACAATCATTCAGTTATGCCAATAATCCATCAAACGTGTCTTATTCCCCCCAGTTTTCTTTTCTCCCTTCGTAACAAGCCAGGAAATGCATGGCATCTCTATTTATGCAAACGATTTTAACATTCTCGAAACTAGCTTACAAATTCCCGCTCGTTACAAATATTTTAGGCCGCTTAAGAGACCTACTAATTGAGAGCAGATTTGGATCCCAGTTTAAATCGCATTATCTGCAGCAAAACATATTTTTCTAGACCTCTTTTAAAGTCTATAAATTAGAAAAATTTTATTTACAAAGTCTTCAAAAATCTTGATAGGGACTTCCATATCTATTAAATATATCATTATTTTATTTTCTCAAGGATAGTTTTTTTTTATTAAGCAATCATTAGCGAAACATTTACATGAAAAGTTTGTAATATCAATATATAGTAAAAATATGAACTGACTTTTAATAAAGATTATGATATATTAAACTTTCGATAAATTAAAGATAACGAGACAGCTTTGATATATATTTGACTTCATAAAGCAACGCTCATGTGCGACAGCTTAGCAAGATCTCAAACCAACACTCGAAAAATCTCGAGAAAATAGGTCATTTGACGTCGGCTAGTAAAATATAAATATTTTTTCATTAGTTAGTAGATTAATAGTTCTTAAATTAATGAAAAAGAAAAAAAAAGATTGAAACAGCATTTTATAATCATTAACAGGTATTGAAGTTACAAGATAAAAGCTCACTCTCATCATCTTCAATGTAACCATTATTATTATTATTATTATTATTATTATTACTATTATCAACATTAATGATTATTCAAACTATTCGAGGGCTCAGTGACCTGTGCATGTTATTCCCGTTATCGTTAAGATCGTTATCGTTAATGCGAGCGTTACTATCGTTATTGTTACTAGCGAGATCCTCATAAGACGTGCGCGTTATTCAACTTTTAATTGCGCTATTAAAGCTATAGATTCCTAATGATAAATTGAACGTCAAAAATCTGGAGTTTAATGAATATTCTTCGACTGGCGCTCGTACACCTAAGTACGGTAACAGTGAATGAATAAAGGCGGGAATACACTGAACAATTTTTTCTGTAACTTTCTCTTTTTCTCTCGCAACACCATTACGACTCAACTTGCTAGAGTGTTAACAACACAAGTTGCACGAGTGTCTATACGGTGCAACTGAGACGCAATCGTTGCCAAAAGTATAAAAACGAATTCTACTTTTCGCAACGATTGCTGCAACTTGTCTCGTAACATTTTTTCAAATTGGGCTGTAGGTTACACGCTGTAATGCTCCATGCAACTTGTGTCGCAACAGTTACAGAGAACATTGCTCGTGTAATCGCGCCTTAAGGCCATCTTTGATCAGTTTACTCTTCGCGCATTAAGCACAAACATCAAGCACTCAAGTCCAAGTGGAAGCTTCGACGAAACGTTACTTTTTCCGTTTCTCGGAGCTTCGTTTTTGCTCACATTGTGCATAACAGGAAAAAATATAACAGTTTTCATCGCCTCATCGTGGAACCATTTCAAATTTTCAATAAATTTTCTGAAGGATAAATGAAAGAATGAATGCTTAAAGGGAATAGCCAAATCGTATAAAATGAACAACACTGGTAACTAGTATTCTTTCCGTGTGCCAAAATAAAATTCCAGGTTCAAAAAATGTTTAGCAAAAGCAATCATTTTTCAGTGACAGCAATATTTTTTATAGATTCTCCAAACTAAATAATAGCTTAATATTTATTGATCTTGTTTTTACGATCTTCATTTTTGATTATTATTTACAGTATATTAGGGAGTGTTCATAATTTATGGGGAAGAGAGTTATGACTAGGGGGGGAGGGGGCAGCCATTTTCTCCTATTAACTATAGCAAAAGAAAAAACAGGGGGAGGAGGGAGGGGGAGGGGGAGGGGAATGTCAAAAATATTTTTGATATTGAAGATACTAGTGTCTACCTTTAAGTCTGCTTTTAGTTTGGTAAGGGAGTCATAGAAAATATGTTATGTTTGAGTAGGGATTAACCCTATTCACACCCATCCACCCACGGGATCCAACCATGCACAGCCTCCAAATCCCTATAACTTGTGAACGCTCCATTATTGATACCAATGTTATTATCACTCAAGATATCCCCTTCAGTAGCGAGGCTTCTAATGTGATGTTAAACTCAACCAGTGCTGTAAGCACGTCTACCAGGAACTGAACGAGACTTGAATCACGAAGAAATGAGTTGGGATCGTACATGTTGGTCGCTGCGGGACACAATGAGATGAGCTCAAGCCAGTTATGAAGTAAGTGGTCTCGAACACCCAGACACACAAATATCTGAAACTTTAATGAAAAAATGGGAAGTGAATGAATACCAGTAGTGAATGAATGAAAGAAAAATGATGGAAAAGTGAGATTTGAAGAAAATAAAGGACATTTCTTTAATGAAATAATAATAATAATAATAACAGAGCTAGATTTTTTTATATTATACACCAAGTTCAAAAAAGATTGTCAGACCCGAAGACGATAGGCGCTAGAAAGGAATTTCTTATTCCAAGAAAGATTATTCCAAGATCCAAATAGCTGGAATGACTGGAGTTTCTCAATATTCTCGTCAAGAGCACGGACGTTACTGTTGAGATATTTAGTGTAGTTTATAGTCGACACAACCTTTTAAAGGCTTCGATTTTTCGATGTTTATATCACAGTACAGCCACATGTGAGTGCGCTTTATATTTCTTATTCTTTAAATAAGAAATACCTTGCCATCTTTGCCAATAGTTTGTGATGAGTGGTTAATTCTCGTTATCATTGTACAGAAACTCTTCTTGGCGATCCTGAGGTGTGCTGGGATACCTGTGTCGTCTTCGTTCATTTGCCAATATTGATGGGCTTTCTCTGAAGGAGTTAAAAACACAAAGAAGAATAGATTGAAAATATACAATGAACAGTAATCAATTATCAACAATAAAAACAGGAGCTGCACATGAGCTATTATGCAGCTATTATACAACGACGACAACGACAGATAGTATCACAGAGAGTAATAGCAGACAGCAGCAACAACAACGACGTCAACAACGACAGATAGTA